TGTTATCAAAATGGAATTGGAGTTGAAAAGAATGAACATAAGGCATTCGAATATTATCAAAAATCAGCCGAGATGGGTCATGCTTCGGGAATATATAATGTTGGCGTTTGTTATCGAAATGGAATCGGAGTTGAAAAGAATGAACATAAGGCATTCGAATATTTTCAAAAATCAGCCGAGATTGGCGATTCTGATGGCATGTCTCAGGTTGGTTATTGTTATCGAAATGGAATTGGAGTCGAAAAGGATGAGCATAAGGCATTCGAACATTATCAAAAATCAGCGGAAATGGGTCATACAGATGGAACATATAATGTTGGCTATTGTTATTATGATGGAATTGGAGTCGAAAAGGATGAACATAAGGCATTCGAATATTTTCAAAAATCAGCCGAGATGGGAGACAATTCTGGAATATCAGCACTTGCTTGGTGTTACAGAAATGGAACTGGAGTGACAAGAAATTTACAAATGGCCGTTCATTGGTATCAAAAGTAAGTAATTTTATTTTATTATTTTATTTTGGTTATTATTTGTTAATAATGTAAATACTGTAACTAGGGAAAGAAGCCAATTGTTAGGTAAAAATAATATCATCATTATATTAATTTTATTTACTCAAAGTTTAATAATTCAGCTTTTTTAGTTTTAAATGAATTGATGCTTGAAAACTCTGATATTGATAACGAACTTAAAAAAATGCTTGCTGAAAGCGAGTATCCTTTACATTGGATTCCTTATAAGGAATTTAAAAACATTGAGAAGATAGGAAAAGGAGGATTTGCAACAGTGTTCCGTGCTTCCTGGAATTATAGAGATGTTGCACTTAAGTTGCTTCATGGATCAAGGAATAGACATTTGGAGTTTATGAAAGAGGTAATTTTTACTTCGATAATTAATAATTTATTGTGAAAACTTTTCCTAATCCTTTTCTTCTATGAAGCTGAAAGCATACTGCATTATTGGACATAAAAACCCTACATTCTTAAAATTCTATGGGATATAAAGAGATAATATTTCAAAAGATTACTTTCTTATTATGGATTATGCATCAATGGGTTCCTTGCGTGATAATCTTCATTTAATGGCACAAAATAAATGGGAAGTTAAAATTATTAACTTGTATTGCTTCCGATCTTCAAATAATTCATTCACAAAATCATATTCACCGAGATTTACATAGTGGTAATATACTATTAGATGGCAATTTATATAGCGCATATATTGCAGACTTAGGCCTTTTGATGTCGACTGACACGAAACATGAAGGTGTTTATGGAATTTTACCATACATAGCACCAGAAGTTCTCCGTGGCGATTCATACACATTAGCATCAGATATTTACTCATTTGGCATAATTATGTGGGAAATTTCTTCCGGAAAAGCCGTTCCTTTTAACCACGAATCTAACCTTCAACTTCAAATATGCGAAGGTTATCGACCATCTGTTATAGAAGGTACACCGCCTTGCTATATGGATCTTATGAAAAGATGTTGGGATGGAATTCCACGGAATCGTCCATTTGCTGAAGAAATTTACAGATTTTTTACAGAATGGCAAAATGATCCAATAGTTTTGACCGAATTAACAAAGTATGATGAAATGTCGAAAAATATGAAAAATTCTTATGCACAAACATACCCCCAAAAAATCTATTCAAGTGAATTCATTCCTCGCACCCAATTATATTGCCAAGGTAAATAATGTGCATTGTTATTTACTTATTTTTCTTTTATTCTTCTTTTTGACATCATATTTTAACATTAATTATATAATATAGACAGTCAACAACTTGAAATGATAGTAGAAGACGATACTTAAAGTATTCTCTGTAAATAATCACATTATTCAATTTCTATAATTATAGGCAAGGGATTTTTGACATATTTATACAAAAGAATGATTCTAATTTTTATGTGAAAAACTAAATTTCTTTTATTTCAAAAAATAGTACCACATTATAATCAGAATAAATTAGATTCGCCATTTGTTAGTCAATATATAAAATTGCAAAGAGTATCTTCTTCACTGATATAGCAGGAGCAATAGTTATTTTAGTTTTTGTTATAGTGGTAATGACAACTAGTTTTAATTGTAACAGGTAATAAGGAAGTAGTGGTAAGTATACGAAAGATAGTGTTGTGGGAGCAATAGGGTGGAAACGCGATATTGAAGCGCGTCGCGTAACAATAAGGCATATAAATAGGATAGTTTTCCATAGTCAGTCAAGGACAGTCAATCGGATAGTCAATTAGTTAGAGTTGAGAGTTTGGAACTCGCTTTTTGCTCTTTCTCACTTTATTAAATAATTGCTACAACTTCGCACAATAACGTATACACCCCATAAGTTATAAACTAAGAGTAACGCCACTAAAGTAAAGTAAACTTTAAGAGAAGAGAACCGAGTTACATTTGCCCCGTGTAGTGAGTGACACTTGTAATTTTGAGACGCGCCTAGGGAAAGACGGTCAAGAAGAGGTTAGCAAGTGCGCGAAAGTCAACCAAATAGTAACCTGCCTTAGAGTTAAAGCCTTATATTTATTTGGTGCCGAAATCCAAGTGTTCGGATTATCATCACGCGAGAAGGAACCGAAGTTAACGACAGACGACAACAATAGAAAAGAAAATGTAATGCGTTTAGGATAGTCCGTTAAGGTAGAGAGATAGACAGCGTAAAAAAAGACTTAATGTTTCTAAAACTAATATTAACTTAGGAACGTTGACAATATAATTGCAGTTAAGAAATGATATAGAAATTTATCTAAATCGAATAAACTCACAAGTTAAAGTCTACTTTCTTTATCTCATCGTTACGTCCGAGTTAGTGACAAACTTGTTAGAAACGATTGGATAATACATTACTGTAGTAAAATTACAACATTTTTTAAAGAAATAAATAAGATAATGGAATTTTTAAAAGTTTATTTATTATAATTTTAAAAATAAAATAAATAAATAAATATTTTTAATACATTCGATTAACCTTATACAGAATACAGTATAAATAAAAATAATATAATCACTTTCATACTCAGTTCTTCATTCGAGAACGCAGTGGGCTCTTTCGTAAGCCCTGCGGTTTTTGTCCAATGTTCTAGTAAAGTTGTTTTTTTTAAATGAACCCTACTGGAAAACTGTAATAATTGACCCATGAATAAGAGCGAGCAATCGGGTATTTTAATGAAACCGGAATTTTTCGAAATGAAATGTTAATATTTCGTTCCAACGCTCAAGGAATTGTCCAAAAATATAAGTAATTTAAATAGTCAACATCAAGAACGTTTCTTATATTGTAAGGGGAAAAATGGGACGCAACGTCAGTCTGTCGCGGGAGCAATGAATGGCGCTACATGGTTTCACATAACATAATCGATCAAATAAAACACGCCTCACTTACCTATAGGAAATACTCTCTTATCCGCGGTTACGCGAAACTTGCTATACTTAACGACAGACTCGCCGCTACACCGGTACAATATATGCCATACTTCCCTAATTATTTATCAATATACTACACACAAGACCTTATTAAAAACGTATAATGCGTAGTAAATTCCATTGTGTACTCAAAATTTTTGATGAAACACTTGTCATTCGTTTTTCCGAGTCTTCTGGTATGAATATCTGTTTGCATTTTACAGTTAGAAGGATCACTTGTTTTCTTGTGGTGTAATTATGACATCTTTGAAAAAAGAGTCACGCAATCATAGTTTGTTAAATTATTGATTACATATGTGAGTTTAATTATCATTCTACAGAATTGAACTCGATCGCACGTAAACATATAATAATTATTTATAAAATCACGAGCCTGGTCAATTGATGTAAGACTAATTTCACACGCATAATGTCCGGTCCTCTTAAAAAAGATATCATAATGCCTCATATATAAGTAAGAGAAGAAATCAACCATATGTTTTTTAAGAAATGAATTCACAATCTCATGCCGTTTTAAAATAGATGGTGAATATAATATTGAAATTACCACTGGTAAAGTCTCAAGAGTGAAGGTTTAAATTATATACATTTCATAATGTCACAAATGCAGAATGAAATATTATAAAACAAACAAGAATTTTTCAAATTCATGTCATGTGCTCTTTTTAATGAAAGACTTTTCGAAATAGAACTTTTATACGTATCAATACTATAGTAGATCCTTTATATATCCATATCGATGAATTCCGGTTTATCTTCACAGATCACGAGCTCCTTAATACAGCAAAATGTTTCTTCCAAGATCTGAAATAATTTATGTTGCTATGGGTACCTTTATTCTCGTGAACTTAATGAAAATGATGGAAATCTTGGATTACCTTTCAATAAAGTTATATTCAAACAAATGCCACAATTTAACACTGAAAAAAATGAATATGATTTTCATTTATATCAGCAACATTAAATAATGATGGTGTTCCGCCTGATTTGCAAGCTGAAATCAAAGAGAGTCTTGTGGACATCCGGCATCCTTTATAATTTTTTTAAAGCTTTTTTACGATTTTCGGCTAACAGTTAGACAGTAGATAATTAAGTTGCAGGAAAAACTTGCTCGGTATATAATGGGACTCATTTCAAACTAAAAGATGAAATAGATACAATGAGTAATAAAGAAAGAAACCATATTCGCAAACTCACAAACTACAGGATAGATCAATGGAAGATAGATTTAATTCATTTAACTGCGCTCAATGACTTAGATGAGAAATTATTCAATGTCAGAATTCTTTTTTACACAGATGTAAATTTGTTTGTTTTATGAGATGTATTATTATACGTGGTTGCATTGAGACTCTCTTTCCTGCGGCTCAAAAATCTTTATCAAAACATGTTATTCCAGAAGATCTCCTTGAGTTGCTACTATTTGGATTAAAATTTACCAATCCTAGTACAATCGTTGATCAAAAAGCTCAATATCAAGAAGGCCCATCAGAAAAAACTCTACAGGCAGCACTTTTCGCATCCGATGATGTGCTTGTTTGAGATAATAACGAAATTTTGGCAGCTTATTCACTCAAATGTAATAAAATATTAGAGGCCGATTTCTGAAATCCATTAAAGCAAGCTAAAGGATATACTGATGACTTTGGTATAAATATATGCCTTGTCAAGTTCATTCTAAAAAGTTGCAAAGAACCATGTACACTTTATGATGTTCCCAAGGAAATCATTTTGGCAAGTATCGCATTCAATGCTGGATTCATCCTATTTGAAATTCAAAAATAGTCTATTGATTAAGAGTGGATTCAAAATTATTTAGCATGCAAAATTTTATACTCGGTAATTACCAAACATTTAATACAAAGAAAATTGGTTTAAAATTATGCTATAATT